TCCCGGTAGGGGTCCGCGGGTGGCGAGGAGCGCTACTCCCGACCGCTCCGCCAGCGTGCAAAGGTCACAGCTCGAGCCCCTTGCACAGAAAGAGAAACAAAGCGGAGCTGACAGCGATTTGCATAAACCCGAGAATATCTGCCCTTCCTCCCCACCCCCGGGAGCGATAAGTAAGGATCTTATGACAAGGAACCCAACAGCACATTCCAGCTGGCAGCTCCTCCCAGGCTCTCAATAACACCAGCCCTTGCTGCCAGATGGAGAATCTTTTACATCATCAGCAAACCGCGCACGGCCTAGGCCGCAGGGGGGAACCGAAGCCCCCTGGCAGCCCCACAGCCTGTTTTCCCCGGGGCTTCGACAGGGCCGTGCGGTTCTGCCAAGCGGCCCGGCCCGAGGAGCGCAGATGGCTCAGTACGCTGTCAGCGCTTACCGTGGGGCTGGAGCACGCTGCTGCTCACAGGAGGTGGGCTGCTGTTCGGTTGCCTGAAGAGATGGTTATTAGGGTGGTTCGGGGGCGGGCTGGATGGCTGAATCCGTAACCTACGCAGGGAAAGAAGCACCTTTTCAGCATGCCTGCTCCTCATTAAGATGCCTTTTCAACTGAGAGAGCTGATGCCAAATGCTGCGCTTCTCTCGGTTTACATAAACACCATGAAGCCCTTGTTTGGGATCCCAAGCTCCTTACAGCTCGGCTTCTCCTCCGAGAGCCACCAGACTTGCCAAAGTCAGAGGTAGCGAGCATAACCCGGTGGCTACAGCAGAAACCCGGGCACAAGGGCACCGCGGGCTCGCCTCCTGACTCGCTGTGGCCGGTGAGAAACCTCCCTTTCTCCTTCCCCATAATCCAGCCCGTCTCACCCACAAGTCAGGGTGCTGAAGTCAGGGACGGTGACCTAAGCAAAAGCCCGTAAAGGTGCAAGACGTCCAGCAGCAGCTCTGAGCGGAAAGCGTGAGAGAAACCGGCTGCCGAAGGGAACGCATTTTCAAGCCGGTCGAAAGGGAACTGTTGATCATCCGTTCAAAGTGGATTTGTGCCTTCGAATCATGTTTCTCTGCTTCTAAAAGCCCTTCAGACAGCATCCAGCTAAAAGGACCAGGCACGTTCACCTGGGAACTGGCAATGCCATTCTAACTCTATACGCTTCCAGCTCAGCCCCGGATTCTCCTAAGTGCATTAGCTCATCCCTGGGCTTGAGTAAAACGCATTTCCCAGAGCTTTACTAAAGCGATTTCTTTACCTCTGAAGCTGGTGGGTGAGCAGAGCTGGCTGGTTTTCACATGGAGCTTGCAAGGGTGGAGATGGCTGGGGTGGCCGGATACAGTCCTGACCCAGGCACCAGAAGAAAACAAGAAGCATTTGCGATCAATAATGGCTCAACTAGTAAATTTAAAAGACACCACTTGGTGAAGTAGGACATATCCAGATTCACCCAACACTCAGTCCCAGACTGCAGCCCTGGCTATCGCAGCAGCCGTGCAAACACCATTGCTGAAGTCCTTCAGGCTTCTCACTACAGCAAGCCGAGCAATCAACCCTCCCCAGTCCCACCGGGACCTGCTCAGTAGTTGTATCTGCAGCCACGCAGGAAAACACAGCTAAGACTTCAGAAGGCCTGGCTCGGGCTCCCGTACCTGAATCTGCTGATGAAGGATCTGATGGTGCTGCTCCTGCTGGTACAACATGTGCTGCTGCTGTGTCTTCTCCAGTGTCCTCTCGTCCATGTGCCCACCATACATCTTCTGAAGCTGCTCGCACTCCTGTAACGAATCCAACGCTCCCTCTAAGTGACCTTTTTTGTGCCCGGCACGCGTGCTGTGCGAAGAGGCACTCTCAGCAGCCTACCCGCCTGAAAAAGCCAGTAACGAAAACCTAATCCATTTAATTTGACATGATCAGGTGTGCAGTAACAGGGCTAGCTCAGGCCTCGGACAACAGAAAAGAAACGGGTGCACATGACACCAAGCTGGCAGCACCACGTTCCCTTAAAAACACAAGCACAAAGCTCTAGTAACAATAATTTTGAGGTGAAAAGAGCATCTCATATTTCTACTGTGTTGCAAGGTGAAAGTCCTGTCCTGGGGCCAAATCCCACTTCAAGCCATTGGTAAGACGCACGCTGGCTGCGTAGGGAATAGCATACAACGCACTCCAAACTCTGGCGGGAGGAACTGCCCCTTTCCTGGGACGCCCTGGAACAGCCCCAAAACTTTGCTGCCGCAGGGAATGCGGGAGAGCAGCAGCCGCAGTCTGGCGGCGCCGGCAGGGCCGCGAGGGCAGGCAGAGCAGTCCACGCCTGGGCACAGCACGTGCTTTGCTCCCCAAAAAGAGGGGGCGGAAGCCCCCGGCGTTCCCAGCTCGCAGGTGAACAGCACGTACGTTTAGAGGACACTCAGCAGGGTGGCTGCGGACAGAGGGGGGAACAGCTCTGGAACAGCTCCTCGGCTGGAAAGCCACTGCCTCTCCGCAGCCAGTAGCGGTAAAGGTTTTGCCTTCTGCTTCCTGAAGCAGCACGGCTGAGGCAGTAAGAAGCCCTTGCAGAGGCTCTTTCGAGGCTGCCCTCCCCCCCTTTTACCTGCTGAAGCTGTTTGATGCTACTGTTATTGCCCATCTTCTCCAGGTGGGCTTTGAAAGCCTGGATGCTGGCAGCACCGTCAGAGAAGCGCCGAACCGGGGAGAAGCGTTCGGTGGGGAGGTGCAGAGTATTTGAGTCCTTGTAAATAGAACTGAACACATGGGGAAGCGGGTTAGTGATGCCAGCTAAAAAACAGACTCCGGTACAGAGACACTGAACTTACACCAGCCATGCCAAGTTCTGCCTGCCCACTCACCCAGCATAAATTGTGTTTTGGACCAAGAAATAAAGTGCCATCATCGCTGTGAACAGGAAACGGGATTACCAAGTATCCTCGGTGCCTGGGCAGGTAAATGTGGTTTAAGGTTGGAGACGACCCAGCCACAAGGCAGATGCCAGGCGGGCACCAACTCCTTGTCCATCCCTACAGATGCATCTGTCCCTCAGATTTTTTTTTTTTTTTTCTTTTTTACAGAAACCATTCAGCATCCTAAAAATGTAAATTCACCTCTTCAGCAGCCCCTTCCTGAGCCTTCCAGCTCCCCGGGGCCCCTGACTACACCTGGTGCCTGCTGAAGACAGGAGGGACACACGGAGAAAGGAGCCTGGCGTGTTCTGCAGCCTCGGCGGAGGAAGGGGGGCTGGCATCTCCGTGCTTAGAGACGCACCAAATTAAAAAATAAAAAAGAGGGCAGGCACGTAACTCTGCACAGCAGGGGGAATCTTCCCAGCGCATTAACCAAGCTGTCACTTCACATCCAGAGCCTCCCAGTTGCCTGGATGCCTGGCACTGGGCAATCAGAATGGGTACATCTGAAAAGCAGGCATAGCCAGTATCGAGGCAACTGCGCCCGAGGAACTGCAGGCGCTTTCCCCTCACAATGAGGTTTCTTCTTCACCATCAGAGGGAGCCAGATTTTTTTTCAGGAGCTGTTTTCTCCCAAAGTTGGTGCTCCCCATTATCCAAGCCAAGCACTAAGCTCCTGCCCTGCCGTTAGGTGCATCCTGTATGGACGTTAGCAAAGCTAGCTTTCCACGCACACGTCACAGCGTGCCCTATAACGAACGGCAGCAGGTTCCTCTGCCTGCCCCGATGGCTGCTGTGCAAATGCAATCCGTGCACCCCAGCAAACAACAGCTAACGGGATGGGCTCCAGCTGTGGCCTTCGTCTGCGAGAAGGGCGTGGAGATGTGGTCTTCACAGCAGCTCTGACACCCTGGCGCTGCACCCACCAGGAGCCCACCTGGCTGCTCACCGGCGCGGTCCTGAGCTGCATTACTGCAGGCACGTTCCCGCCCTGGCCGCTCAGGCTATGGCTCGCTACAGAAGCCTCTCCCAAGAAGTGAAACTATTTCTCCCGGGGAGGCTCCCCCTTATCAGAAGGTGACCGATGCTGGACCATTTCCAGCATGCTGGGTTCAGCTCCTGTCACTCGGTCTGCCTTACCAGGACGTACTCTGGTTTCTATACATGACACACAACTCTCTCCCAAGGACAGAGCTGTGCCCCTGCCTTTGATGCCACCCCATCCGTTATCCTGGTCCATTTGATCTCCTGGTGTATTGATGGAAAGCAGAAGCTACAGACAAAACTATGCTGAGGCTCCCAAGCCCGTGTGGCCAAGGCCTCGTGCAACTGTCGTACTTCAATTCTGCTTTCAGATACTAAGTTATCATGACCAAAACCGGGTGCTACCTAAGAAGATGGCTTAAAATATGTCAAGCGCTAAAATAAAACCCACCTGCCGTTCAGTAACTGAGGGCTATTTATGTGATGGCACAAGACTGCCAATGGTTTCTGTGCCCTACGTGTCTGGGACACAACATGGGGCAATCAGTTTAGGCCTTGGTCAGACGAAGTTGCTGTGATTTCGCAGGTAAAACACGAGGCAGGCTCACAGCACGTTACGACACGGAGGGTGGAATGAGCAGATACCACCCCGTTCGTGATGCAACGGCCTCAGGACTCCAAAGCCAAGAGGCAGAGGCGTATTTACAGGGTGAGTGCGTTTTAACAGTCTTGTAAAAAAACGGATTCCTGCGGTGCGTGAGGGACCCGGCTTACCTTTATGATTTGAAGCAATCTTTAAAGCAGGACACAGCACATTCTGGTTGTTTTGCAAGCTGACTCCTCTTCCTATCAAGCTGTGACCCTAGAAATCTTTCCCCTCCTGCCCTTCTCATCCCCCGAGCACCTCTGTCAGGGAGTAACTTCAGGGTATAGGGATGTTTATCTTGGTTTTCCCGAGTTCCAGCGTGGCACTAGCGCTGTCTCGGTCTGCTCAGAGTTCACCTGCCTCTGCTGATTACATCAGTGCTCAGCTCAGCAGGTATCTGGCTACAATAAAAAGTGCTTTGTCAAGCTTGCCAGCGTGAGCTGGCTGAAAGGTGGGACACGAGCACTGATTTTGCCTGGTAGGCGACTGCTTTCTCAAGGGGCGAGACCAGCAGGCAGCAAACTCCGCAGTTTGCGGCTGGGTTGCACTCTCCGGTTCAGAGCGCCAGTTTTTAAGCTCCCTCTGTGGCATCAGCATCTCCGGTTTGCTGCCGTGGCAAGGACTCTCCGTCAGATGAACACCTCTCTCCATCAGGAGTGCCCCACCAGCACATTTTGAGAGTGTTCAGACCCAATCTCCAGAGGTTCCCTCTTTCCCAGGCGTGATTTTTTTCTTCCCACCCCAGCTTCCTTGCCCCACATCATTCCCATCAGGGGTTCAGATCAGAAATAACATGACTCTTGAGGAGCTTTGCAAAGAGACTTTGCAGTCAAAACACACAACTCTGGTGCAGAACAGTGAGGTTTCTAAGCTCTGGTGTAGATGACCTGGTGCAGCGTTTTGCCTGCCCCTGCCTCTGAAAACGTTCCGTAGAAAACCTGCTCTCTGCCGCTAGCTTGACACCTACCATTACAAGAGAGAAAAGCTCTCCTCTAGAACGCATGGCTGATTCCCAAGCCTTCTGCGACGGCAGCCGTTCTGGCAAATCATCCCCAGCCACAAAAACGGGACCGGGGGGGAAGAGCCAGCCGATGCCTGCCCCTGAATTGCTTCTGTCTGCAGGCACGGAGCAGAAGTCCCGTGTCGCCAGCGTGGTCAGACACCCTCTGCTCTGTGGGCCTGCTCTTGGTACTTGTGCCTCCTCCTCACCCCTCCCTGCCAAGCGGGATGTCCTCAGTGCTCCGTTCCAGACGACATCTGAGCAGGTTTCCTGGCGCAAAGCTGCCCGAACGGCCGGTGCCATTACTCACCGGTGCTGATCGGGTACCAGGTGTGGAGCCCAAGCCCGGGGTCGGAAGGACTGCTGTCCTAGCTGCCTCTGCAAGTCTGGAGGGATTTCAGCTGTAGGGTTGGTCATTGCCAGAGTGTGCCTTTTTGACCTATTTGCCAAGTATCTGCAACAAGCAGGAGCACATTTTATAAGAGACTGATGGGAGTACTCCAAAAACAGGGAGCGTTAGATAATCCAGAATAAACGGGAAGGAAGAATGCTTGCTGCAGTGCTCAGAACCAACGGGGGAGAAGCACGCCATGGACACGCTGCCCATGCCCGTCACATCACTGGGTCTTCAGCGCTTAGGGGACAAGTGTAGTTTCAGCTGCTTGTGCGCTACTGCCAGCCTCGGGAGGCAAGAGGAGCCATTTGCGGCAGGAAAGCCGCGTTTCACCTCAAGGGGAATGCTGGTATATCCCTTTGGGAATACCCAGGCGACTACCCGCCCTCAACGGGGATTCACTGCAGTACAGCAGGTCTGCCTCCCTCTCCCAAGGCCCCACTGAGCCACGGGGAAGTCTGCTGCGCGCACGGAGCCAAGAGACGAGTCACGGCTAATCCTAGCGAGGGCTGGCTGGAGCTGCTGCTGAGCTGCACCCTTGCAGGATGGCCTTTGCACTTCAGACCTACCCTGGGATGCCTCGGGCCCAGCCGCGAGCCGCGGCCAGCTTGTCACAGGGTGCAGGGAAGGGTGCACGAGGGCCACCCCGCCAGAGATTACGGGTGGGTCGAGCCCCCGGCTGCCTGGGGAGGAAGGAGCAGGAGGAAGGGCGCGCGGCTGAGGAAGGGCTGGTGCCCAGCCCGGTCCCCGTGCGCCATCTAGTCCCTGCTCCGCTCGCCAGGGAGTCGGAAATCGCCCAGCCACGCGCAGGGCAAAGCCAGCGAGGGAAACTGAGCAGCGAGAGGGTCCCTTCCTCTGGAGCCGCAGCCCCCTGTGCCAAGGCTGGGCTTGCCTCTTAGACCTGGGGGCAGCAGCTTAAACTAAAGCACGCTCTTGCACTGGAACTGAGAGACTTCAGCTCCTTTGCAAACCCTCTAAAGAGCGGGGCAGCGCGCAGGACAAAACTAGGAGCCTCTGCTTGGGCAAGGATGTGACGAAGGGCCACGCGGCGGCTGGCCTGAACTGCTGGTTACTGGCCACAGCCATGCGCAGGGCAGCGGGGGGCACAGAGCCAGAAGAGATAACGACCGGAGTGCCTACCCAGGACGCCCTGGCTTGTGACGAGCTGGGGGGCTAGCACGTTACCCACTCAAGGCCGGGTGGGATGAACGCCCACTTATGAACTCAACTGTTTCTACTCTGGTGAGCCAGCGGCAACAAGGCAGCTGCAGTGACTGGGACAAAGACCGCTCGGCAGGGCTGCCAACGGGGAATTCTCACCTCCACTCTTTTCCCCTGCTAAGGCTCCCCGCAGCTCCAGCTGGTGAAGCACAGAAGGGCAGCAAGCAGTACAGTTGCTGCCTTCTCCAAACGCAGCCTCCCTTCGCTGGCTACCGAAGCCACTCAGGCAGAAGACAGCAAGTTAACAGAACGAGGAGCGCTTAGGCCTTGTGGTAACTTGCCAAAGTCTGTGCCATTAGCTGTTTAAGAATCATTTGAGGCAGACGGGGAAAGTTTCCCGAAGAGCTTTACAGCTGTGGTTTGCTAAGATCATTTTATTTCAGACCTCCAGGGAACAATCCAATCATGAGCTATAGCAGCGTTTCGGGTGGAAGAAAGTTTCCCAAAGCTCCAAGGGGATGTGACTGTTCCCTGGAACAGAGAAAAGACTATGCTCTGTTTTCAAGGTCAGATTGAGGAGGGCAGAAACTGCTCGCTGGTGGCTGCATACAGAGTGTTCGGAGCGGTGTTCTGAGAAGCTAAATATTTGCATCTGGCCCTGATGTTAACGCTATTTACCCTTCTCCTCTGATGACTACTGACATGTTGCAACATAAGGGGGTGGAGAGCAAGTTAACACACAACCTGGACGGGGCTTTTTCTGGGCCATCTGGTGGAAGAAGAACATGTGGTATGAAAGGACTAAGGGCAGCACCGCCGAGAGCAGCTGAGTGAGCTACGGGTCCAAGGAGACTCGCCTTTTGGTGGGATCTGAACCTTTCAGTGGCTTGCAACCTACCAAACCCTGCACGTGGGTTTCAAAATGTTTCCAGCTGAGCTAATGCTTTAACTTAAAGACTCAACCGAAACCCTAGGATTTAGAACAGGAGAGGTGAAAATCTGCCCAGGTAAGATGTCCAGGCATCCCCTTGCCAAGAACCAGACTGACCCGATTTGCGGAGTCAGAAAGACTGTCTGCCATCTGAGGTGTTGCCAGTGGACGTTACGGCCCCCCCCCCGCCCCAATTACAACTGTTAATAGCTGCCTAGGCAGCACAGCGGTGTATACAGCCCGCGTTCCTCAGCCCCGCTAGGGAGGACAGCACACAGCTGGGTACAGCAGCTTCGCAGGGGCTGAGCGCAGGCTCCAGCGCCTGGAGGCGCAGGCTCTTCGCCGGCTCAACGCTCCGGCTGAGCCTCCTTTCCTTCACCGCGCTCCCCTGCAGCTGGGGCGGGTCGTGAGCAGGCACCTCCCCACTACCGTGGCTCGGGGGATGAACGGCAGCTGGTGAAGCTGGAAAATACTGTGAGAGTGAGCAAAGATGAGGGTGGGGAAGACCTAGAGTCTAAGACCACGCAGAAAACGCAAGACGTGCTCTGCTGAAGGGCTGGGTCAGCTCAGGCAGGGCTGGAAGCGAGTTCTTTCGCAGGTACCAGCTCTGACTTTCTTCTAAGCTCAGGAAGGCAAAAGGAGTCTCAGCGCACGCTCTGCACAGTCTGTCACTGCACACACCCACCGTTCAAATCCCCCCTTGGCCCTGGAGCACTGAAAGGAGAGGAGCTGGCAAGGGCTCTGGAGCACAACCTCTGCCCACCCCAGTGTTTCTCTGCCTGCAACCCACCCCCAATCCGAATCCTTCTCCCAGGTGCAGCCCCTGAGGAAACGCTTCCTTACGTGAGGTGGTGGCCGCTACAAACGGGGGGATCCAGAAAACTTTTCAAGTTTGAGGGAAGAAGTAGGAGCACTCCGTAACCACCCCCACCACACGTAGTGCACCAGCTGGTTAGCAGAGAAGGAACTACGCAAAAGCTACTAAGAAAATGTTAGCAAGGACATGGTTAGTGTTTTCACGGATTGAGAAAGTACAAGCGTATTCCACCCGCTTCCCAGTACGTGTTTGGAGCAGACAAAGAGAACAGAAGTTTCCAGCCTGATACCTAACAACCCTTTCCCTATCGGAGCAGACTATTTTAAGGCCTACTGCTAAAATTAGAAGCTAGAGGTACCCGTATTTCCAGCAAGCTCACTTTAAGGCATCAGAGTTGGATGTTTACTGCACGTCTCGATACAAAAGCTGCATCGACACCCAAGGCCACAGATGAGATCTTCCTACCTCCATCACTCAGCAGGGAGGGGTGAATCACTTAGCACTCATTTTGCAGGTTAGTGTGGATTGCATGCTGGTGCACACTAAGCAAAGGACTTCAGCGGTTTCAGAGTTTCTGGAGAACCTACTGCTCAAATGGCTAACCATTTCAGGGGGACTCCAGCTTTGTAAGCACCTCGTCGTGTCAGAGGAGTAATTGCCTACAGTAATCGCCTACAGTCAACACCCACAAGAACAAGAGAAATGTGGAGCCTTCGCTGTAATCGATGCTCCTGCCTGTGATGAGGTTGTGAGTGTTTTAATTCAGCTGTGGAACACCACAGGGTGAGCCTCTTTGAGGGTAATAAGGGCAAATGTTAACAGACTGGGGGTTACCTCTGCACAGCTTCCTGATCTGGCTCCCCGTCGGAGCTCTCCTCATCCACAGGGGTGACCGCTGGGACAGCCTGCAGAGACAAGAGAAGCCATGGGTTCCAGGAGGCAGCCAGCGTGGTCCCACCTCCCCCCCCACCGCCTCACCCTCCCAAAGAGGCTTTCACAAGAGTATGTGCCAGCTCCTCTGCAGCACCAAGGCCCCCTTCCGACATTCCTTCCCCAAACAACTGCCTGTACGAGGCTGCCGCTGCCTTTGGTGCTACCAGGAAAATTTGGTGATACAAATGCCTCGAGGAAGAACGCACAGTAACGCCCAAGACGGACACTCTAGTTTTCTCTACGAGATCAGCAAAGGAGAAGAAAAGCAACCATTAAAAACAAAAAAATTCATGTGTGCTTTGCCAATTCCCAAGAGGAATACCATCTCAGCCGCCAGCTACAGGAGAGCACAGCGGCTCTCCCACAAGGGGACAGAGCGCTCTGCCGCTCCGCAGGGGGGTGAACCTTTGGGAGCAAGCAGGCACACTCCCTGCAGCGCTTCCAGAGCGCTACGCTGTCTGCTGTGACCTGGAGGGCAGTCACCTCTGCCTGCGGGAGAAGATATTTATAAGCACGCCACCGCTTCTCTGCTTTCCTGTTGCTACTTACTGGTGTCATAGTGACGAGCGGAGACGGACCTCGAGGACGCTTCAGCAGTTGCTGTGCGTGTAACTGGATGTTGGCTCCGCCATCTGACGCCCGCCGCCCCAGAGGGCCCATGCCGTTCAGCAGCTGCAGGGTGGGGGGCTGCAGCAGGGACTGCTCCTGGCAAGCACAGACAGGGCAGTTAGCGCCCCCGCACCGCATCCCTCCGGTACCCGAGCGCTAAGGTCACAAGCCCAGATGCTGGCACGAGAGAAGACAAGCCTTCTGGGCCTCAGGAGAGAGGAGGGATTAATCCCCAACATCTCAGAGCTGGGGGGGGGGGCAGAGAGAGCCAGTGTCAGCGCCAGAGTGGGGTTTAACTCTCCGTTTCCCTGCAACTCTGCTTCAGTTGCCAGGCAGGCTGCAACCTGCAGCCCCGAAGCCAGGTAGCACGGCCCTATTTCTCCCCAGCCCAGTAATTAATTTCATATCGCGGTGTTCTTTCATTCGTCAGCTTTTTAAGTAACCAACAAGAATCACACCTGAAGAGACAGCAAGAGGGTAAGAGTCTTGAAGCTTAGGGAGCCCGAGGAATTGGCAAATAGAGCAAGCGTGAGCACAAACGCACAGCCTGCGGCAGGGAGCACGTGCAGCGGTCGGTACCTTGTATTCCAGCTGACCCGTGGGCTGCAGGTTCTGCCTAGGCAGCACGTTGTGCATGAAGTTCACATTCGGGGTCACCTGCAGGAACGGAGCCTGAGGAGTGACACGGGGGAAGCCAGGCAGGAGCTTCTGCAGATCTTCCATGACCTCCGTCCTGTGCAATCACATTTATAGAAAGGCGAATGAGCAAAGATGTGAGGAGAAGCACCCGTGGGCCCAGAGCTCTCAGCCTCCCTTCACAAAAGGCTTCTTATTGCTCTGGAAAATGGCGGCAGAGAGCAGCCAAGCCACTCTTTGGTTTTCGTTTGTCCTTTGTTCCCCCCTGAGTTGAGATTTGCCAGAAGTAGCTCTCTGCATTAACCTCGATTGCATTTGTCACAAAAAGCTTCAGCTAGGACATGACAGCAGTGCAGCTTAGGTGAGAAACCGGCTCGCACACCAGTCAACGCTGCTATAGCTTACACAGAGCTAACCAGGAAGAAGAGAAGGAAAGAATCCCATCCTCACCCTCAGCTGAAATATTAACCAAACTGTGCAATGGGACTAGGACATTTAAAGGGATGCTTTCGCTAAAGAGATACCTCGAATTTCTTTTTTTATCTAGCAAAAATCAAATTTGCAGAAATAACTCCAAGCCACTCACAGCAGGGGCAGGAAACCAAAGGTTTGGTACCAGCCATGATAGGGATACACGTGCTCATCACCACCTGGTCTGGCTAGAGTGGGACCCAGGGGCGTGCTGTGAAGTGTATTTCCCAGCCCAGAACCTGGAGACCACTGCCAGTCTCAAAGGCATCAACCCTTCTATGTACCACAGAGCCCAGAAGTCCCTTAAGGCATTAACCTCTCATCTGCCAGCACAGCAGCACATGAATAAATCTGCCGTATCTCAGAAGGACCAAAGTCATGTGCTAGGAGTAAATCTTCAAGTTCCCTTAGTCCTCCATCAGGGAGTTCAGAGTCCAACACTAACCGTGGGTCTGCTACTCCAACCGTGTGCCTTCTCATCGAAAGGTAACGGACCAGAGCTTCAGGTGATGGCTCTTCCCCTTCATCACTGTCCAAGTTCATTGTTCCGTCAGTCTGGGCAAGCAAAACGTTGGAGATGGTGAAATACAAGGGGAGGGTCAAGCAAGAGGCTTCAACGCAAGCCCGGGAAAAGAATTTGCAGGGGTCATCAAGGGGAGTACCTCACCTCTACAATTTGGTTTTCAGGGTTGATGAGCTGGACTTGCGGCACGTTGATGCTCATGGTATTGCTCGCCTGTTCTGTCTGCTGAGCAGAGAGATCAAAATCAGAAGACATGAAGGTAGCATCTCTTACAACCCCCTACAAACACTGCCAGATGAACACCGGTGCAGACCTAAGCACCCAGGAACAGGGAGGTTACCCTGGAGCCAGCGAAGTTCTGTTTATTCTTAATTCTGCAGAGGTCGCCTCATTTCCCCTCCTCACTTCTCCTCAGGCAGGGTCAGCATCTCTGCTGCTTCCCTTATGACCTGGCCTCTCTTAAAGCAAATACTCGTCTCTTGGACAGCAGCACAAATTAAGGAAGCAGCAGTGCAGAGCGGTCCTGGTCTGCAGACTCTAGCTCCCAACCAGTAACCCTCACGTTGCCTCCTCCTCCGTCGCTACGCTAAACGCAAGACTTAGTCTCAAGGGCATTGGCTAAACCCGGAGCCGTTCCTAATCTCAGGATTATGGCACCCTAAACACACACGAAGTTCTCAGACAAGGAACGTTTTGACACTCCTGCCCGACGCAAGCAGGATCTACCTGGATGTTAGCAGAGGTGGGGAAGGTCATGGTCCGTGGTATACTTGGAGACGCTGCAATGCGCAGATTCTTGTGTCTCTTCAGACGGTCGCAGAGCAGGCTGTAGATTGCACTGTAGTGATCATAAGCATCGGCTCTTAAGGACTAGAAGAGGAAAAAAGGAAAAAGCGGTCAGCTCTTTCTGTCAAGCAATAAAATACGCGCTGTACCGTGCTGAAGCAGCTCAGTTCCTAGAGGTGACAAGCAACAAACACGGCCGCTTGTTCTCCAGGGCAGGACGCGACTGTCAGCTGTGGTGTCTCACCTGGATGGTGCGCTCCTTGTCCAGCCCCATGTCCGCCATCGCCAGCAACACGTCCTCATTCAGCGGCTCCATCTGCCTCTCAGTCTTCAGGTGCTGACACTCCGCTATCAGCTGCAAGAGCACAGACACAGACTTCAGTGCTGACATTCCCAAAGGCACGCCGATGAGTCACAGCGCTCTGAAGAACCAATGCACCGGGCTGCGGCTGCAAGCTGGCGTCAGCTTTGAAGGCTGATGGTGCACCAATTCAAAACCTAGTGCCTCGGGCTCTCAGCACCAAGGGGAAAGATACAAAAATACACGCAGATGAGGAGCGACGTGGAAAGCAAGACCAGGAGACACAGAAAGGCAGCACATCGGCGCTTGGAACGAGAGTTCTCAAACAGCCAAAACGAATATTGCAGTGCTACGTGCCCGTCTGCAGCCCAGCAGGGACCAAGCAGACCGTGCTCCACACCAGCTCGCTTCTGCTTCTCACCCTGTCAAACTCCGCGTCGGCCTCCCCAAGCTTCATCCACTTGTGTTTGCAGATCTGCTCCATGGAGAGGCGCTTGCTCGGGTCCAAGACCAGCATGTGGCGGATCAGATGCTCACATTCTGCAAGGGAAGAGAGAGGCTGGGTAACCTGCAGGGAGGGACACGACTTCTGCAGGAGGCAGCCTTGCGCCGCAAAGGGGAAAGCGCTTCTCCGTGGGAAGTCATACATAGCAAAAACATTGCTTCTCCTTCCGCGCTGCGCAGCCGTTCAGCCCCCGACGCACCGCTTTGCTGCAGACGTTTGCTTTCCCCACGCTAGGAAGGAAGCCACCCAAGGCCACCGGGCCCCTGTGCTGTTTGCCGGAGCCCCTAGGTGGCACGCTGTCACCCCGTCCCTCCCCGCCTGTCGGCCTGGCCAGGAGACAGGACTGGCTTTTGGGGGTAGAAGGGCAAAGTATCCTCCTAACATCCCCCACTCAGCAACAGCTCGCCGTGAATGATTTCTCCACTGTACGAGGGGTGTGCTGCCAGCGTGGGGGGCTGCTGAGGCTCTCCCCCACGCGGGGTGGGATCTAAGGCTGCCTTCCAAGCACCACACGTTTTAGCAAGCATTTTCTGCGTGAAGACAACCTCTTCCCCACGTAAGGCGGCAGGCAAGGAAGCTTTCAGCTGGGAAACTCCACGCAGCCCATGCAAAATTATTCCTTAATCTGAGAGCAGGCAACCAAGAACCTCCAGATGACTCGTTCTTAAGTTGGTTTTATCTGCGAATAATCGCCTTTTCAAAACCAAGATTTATTACTAAAGCATTCAGAAGCAGTTTTGCAGAAAGGGGGCTTAGAACTTCCTCTCCGATGGGGCTCTTGCTGGAAATTCATGTGCCATAACGCTGTAAAGAGCTTCTTGTCTAAAACAGGTCTAGCCTCGATACTCCTAAATCACTGCTCCATTTTTAGCTTTCATTTCCCAAAATTTAGAAAGAGCCTATCTTTGCTTGCACTTTGTTACAGTTTGCACAGTTATATACGTGAAAGCTGAGATCCTAAGGAAGAGTATTTTGGTTTCTAAATTCTAGATTCGGACCTCATTTTAGCTTACGTTACAAACCACCATCCAGCGGACAAGCTTCCTGGCAAACCACTTCACTGCCCTATAAATCAACTGGTATGCTCTAATTTAAGTGCTCCAAAGAATCCGTAAGCAGAGACGCGACCAGCGCCGGCTCCGTGCACCCCTTACCTGTGGACATGAAAAATGGAATGCGGAATTTCCCACTGAGCACCCTCGCCCGCAGGTTCTGCAGCGTGCTCCCGTCGAAGGGCAGAGCGCCGCAGACCAGCACGTACAGCACCACGCCGAGACTCTGCGTCCAAAAGAGAGGGCACGTCAGCAACGTTAGAGGGGGAGGGCAGGAGGCTGCAGGTAACTGCGGTACAGGCCATTGAAATAGAGTAAGATAATAATAAAGAAAGAGCAAATCCCATTGGAAAGGACCTCGCTGACGTCCCAGGCCAGCCCAATTCCTCCCTCAAACCTCAAGCCTCATTTCAGGCTCTTTCAGCTCTGCCAGATCAAGCCCTGCTGCAGGAAGTACTCTGCCATTCAACAGCGAAGAAGGGAACCATATTTTTGGGAAACTAGATTAAAACGCATTTCTGGGCAGCTCATATTTTTGGCATCGTGCCTCCCGATAAAGAAAACATGGGACATAGTAGTCAGAATAAAATTCTAAAAGCACGAAAACCATTTCTTTGCCATATCGTGGGCTCTTCTCCGCGACAGGCACAAAGCATTCAGGAAGCAAAGCCAAACAAAACAGAGCAAAACCGAGATCCAAGTAAGAAAGAAAGAAAGAGGTTCGGTGCGTACCCAAATGTCGACCTTTGGGCCATCGTATTCCTTTCCTTCGAAGAGCTCTGGAGCAGCGTAGGGAGGACTCCCACACCAGGTTTTAAGCAGTTGACCAGGTGTGAAGATGTTACTGAACCCAAAATCTGAAAGAACAAAAGAGAACTGAGTAGAGGAGTAGGACCCGCTCCACCTATCCTAAACACAAGGTATTTACGTAATCTGCCACGTCTAGGAAAGCCCGGTACCGTCCCGTGACGGATAACCCATACGGCAGAGCAACAAGAGTGCAGAAGAGGCTGGAAGAGGAAGAGCAACGCTGAAACCACCTGGTCAGCGGGCAACCTCTCTCCGTACCGAGACAAAAGGCGACCAAGTCTTAACAGCGGCACATCCCTACGGTGTGAAACAGCCCATCTAAGCAACCTCTGCAAACCACCACCATTTAGGCCTGCGTCACACGCTTCGGCTTAGCAGGAACACACAGGTCTTTCCAAAAGGCTGCTCTTCGCTTTTCAGCCACGTGATTTCCATGCTGGAGTCAACACAGCAGCAATCAGACCAACCGGGCTTGCTTGCAAGTCGGGCGGACAGTTTGGAACGAGGCCTCCGCCTTACGTTCAAGAGATCCCACACAGATCTTGTGTGTTAATTCCCAAGCTTCAGCTTCACCCATGCCAAGTTCCACAACTTCGTTAGGGCCAGGGCGGCTGCCAGCAGGGACCAAATGCAGGCAGAGGGAAAAAGAATGGGAAATTTTGATTTTCCAGAAAGCACCACGCGAGCTGGAAACTCCAGTTACGGTGGGCAGCTCTACAAACCAAGTCAAATCATTCAAAGAGCAAATAATAAATCCCAAAAGAGAAATGAAAAGAAAGCTTTTAACCTTACGGGCAGTCAACCGTCAGCTTACGAGGGCGCTAATGGCATTCTCTGCTAATTAACCTGCCACCCCTTGGCACACAGCTGGGACTTGCACTGGAAGGAGAGTAAAGAAATCAAAGTCTGGATTCAAGAAAAGTGAGCGTTTTCTTATGAAAAGGAGGAATCCTCACTGATCGTGTCTTTCCCCTCAACTGAGAAAAGGCAAACGCGCGGTCACAGCGAGGCGCCCCCACGTCCCGCGAAGAGGCTGCCCTTCCAAGCAAGCGCTATCAGGAGGCGCCGTGCCGCAAAGGTTATCTGCAAACTGCCTTGCCTCCGCCTCTGCGAGGAGTGTGCTTAGCAGGAGGCCGAGTGACATTAATGCGCTCAGACGGGGCAACAGGGACATTTTTCACGGCATTTGCACCAGCAGCAGATCCTCACGGCAGGCTTCTGTGAGAAACGCTGGAAAAACCAAGGAGGGCCAGAAGTACTGTTTGCAAATCCTGACTGATTAAACCAAAAAAGCATCGTGGCAAAAATACAGAGTGCAGCGAGGGCCAACACCTCTGCGCAGGAGGAGGCACAGAAAACCCCGCCGACAACGCGCTAACGGGCGAGTCCGTGCTCCTGTTGCGACCGCCGCCTTCCTTACGGGATTTTCCGTGACCTAATTTCAGGTGAGTCTCCTCTCCTCCTTCGAGCAGCTTCTGCAGAACTCGGCAGCCCCCCTAGCGCAGCTCGGCCCAGCTCCTGCTAGCTCAGCTCCAGGAGGGTCCAGCCAACGCTCCGGCTTCCCGCCCCTTCGCAGGGGGCAAAATTCTCCACGCGGAGATGGTTTATGCTCGGGAAGGAGACCTAGCGTGGCGTGTTCCTGGGAGTAGAGGCAACGCTGCCCAAACCCCACCTCAAAGCAGAGCAGAGGGACGGCGAGTGCTCTGTAAGAGCGTGGCAGGATCAAACCAAGGCAGTTAAACACCCTTTGGGTTTGTGCTGTTGGAAACGAAGTCATCCAAACTTCCAAAGCGTGCGAGCAGTCAGCCCGTGGAGGACTATTTCGGGGAAACGGTACACAGCCACACAATCGACTTTTCCACCTCTGCAAGCTTTTGAGCTGTTCTGTCTCGCGGTTGAAGGAGGCCGCGTAACAAGCGCCTGAACTACGGCTACCAGAGCAAGCAAGAAAAGCCACAGCACTAAATGCGCTTCCATCTCCTAACGACAAAGCATTTGTGGCCAAATTTAGACGTAGACTCTTTCCGACTGTGCAAGAACAGGCTGGAATTGTGGTACTTCACACGTTTTGAGCAAATTATTCCGGTTTAGTTACTTTTATTTATCCTTGTACGTACTCGAGCGGGCTCTGCGGCACTTTGGGAACCAACCGTATTTTCAAAGCAGGGAATACCGCCCCGCACGGGACCAAGGACCGAGGCGTGCCCTGCGCTGCCGCCGAACGGACGCGCAACAGCTGCCCCCTGCAACCCTCTCTGCTGCCCAAGAGATTGGCTGGCTTTGAAACCTTACCCCTCTTTCACATGGGGTTGAAACTAGCCCACGGGGTCCCCAGCTCTTTTTGACAGCCGAGCGGAGGCGGCCAGAGAGAGCAACCCCCCAGTCTCTCCTTAGAGAACGGGACGGGGAGCGCAGAGACGCCGCGGGCGTGACGGTGCGCAGGCAGCAGGTCCTGGAGCTCCCACGGCTGCCCCGGATTTCAGGATGAAAAACCTCTCCCTGTGGAGAGCCGCTGCTCTCCCCGGCTCTTTCCAGCTCCGGGCGAGTCACGCTGCTCGTCTCTGCGGGGAGCTGGGGAGCCAGACGGCTCCGTCTTACACGAAGCACTGCTCAGTGGGAACAGCTTCCAGAACCCACCTGCGCTGCACGAACCGAGGTCAAGGCTGGCGAGAACAGCAGGCTTTGAAAAAGCCCCCTCAAAAGCTAAGGGGGGGGATTTGAAAGCCTCACAGCGACAAACAACAAAAAATCAAATCCAAACAAAAAAAACCCCGAACTACAACTTAAATAAACTTTCTTAAGAACTGTGACAAGTCACCCCAGTCTCAGGAGACATATAAATCCAAATGCCCAGGGAACACCCAGGTCTCCTTCCAAAGCAGATGCAGAGGGAAAAGGGCATTTTTAAAGAGCAAGGTAAAAGTCACAATGATGTGAGACAGGGAAAATATTTAAACACAGCATCTCCGTGCTGCAAACAAGCGGGCCCAGTCCCTCACATTTCCTCAGAGCAGAGCGCCTTGAGTGCCTGCACCCAGGGACTTTTACCCTCAGAAGGTGAAAGAGCGAGCGGACTCCTGCGAACAAATGCAAAGCAATGCATAGATCAGATTCCTCTCCAAAACCATACCCTAGGAAGGCCTGGGTATTTAGCAATAATCCCAACTCCTGGCTGAACTCTCTGACTGGGAGCACAACTGAACATAGTGCCAGAAGCTACTGACTCAGCCTTTGAGAAGGTACGCTGGAGAAAAAGCCTCCATGGGAAAAATGAGAGCGAGGGTAACGGCGCTTGTATCTTACTGTTTATGGAAAAATCATACAGTTGCAATCAATCAAAAAAAAAAAAAAAAAAGCCAAACCCAAAAAGCACACTTGCGTCGCCATCGAGTGAGAAGAGCAGCTTAACCCACTCCAAGAGTGCTACGCTATCTTGCTAAGCATCGGGTACTCAACTAGTGCGGAGTCGAGCGAGGTTCTCCTCCCCCTCTGCTCTGCCCTGCTGAGACCCCACCTGGAGCACTGCGTCCAGTTGTGGGCTCCCCGGATCAAGAAAGATGAGGAACTCCTAGAGAG